AGATATTCATGTATATCTTGCAGGCAGAAAATGCCTTTTTTTGCTATTGCAGAAGGACAGTTACACTTCCAAGACCATTATTCACTACTTTAATTTTCATTGTACACTAGCAGAGTCATGTATTAAATATATTCCCTGAAATCTTTCTTTCTCCCATCTGGTATAGTTTGCATTACTAGAGACCACTCACTAAAATGAGGAGTTAGGACTTACCAGTAAGCTGGTATTCACTTACTAGACACTACAGTGTGAGAATTAAAAAGATGAAATTAATTACTACCTTGAGAATCCTCAACTGTATTAAAATTGAAATGTAAATTTGTACTGCTGTTCTACTGCTTTCACAGTCACCTTGAACTCAATACAAGTTATAAAAAATTACAAGGGCCAGCCATGCATCATCCTGGACATACTTGTGCAGAAGAAGCTTACATGGAGTGTTAGTGAAAGCATAGAGACAACAGAGAAAAAGCATACTCCATTCTTATTTGTGCTATTATCAACATTGATCTGAAAGGCTCAGCAGATACACTGATCCTTTGTTCCCATTTTCTTAAATTACTCCCACTGAGAAAAATGGCTTATTTCTCCTTCAAGCTCGGAAGCACTGAGAATGTTGCTGAGCAGATTCACACTTTTCTTGTTGGCTAACTGGCTTGCATGCCCTCAATTTTTATCTCTGTTGACATTCTTTGATTTATGAAGTTACTAAAATTTGGCAAAAGATTTTGCAAAGATCGAATCGGAAACATTTCATAGTCCCTTTTCTCTCCATGACTTTTCAGTGCATTAGCTGTGCTCCTTAGGCTGAGTCAGAAGCCTTATCAACAACAGTGCTTTTGCAGAGAATGTGCTGAAAACATTTTAGCCCAAACTGTGTTGTCACTTAAACTTCTGCAATCAGTACTTTACCTGCAGCCATTACCAACTACAGGTACAAAATACATCACTTTAAGGGTCAGAACATGCAGTTTCCCTACCCCTCAAATTATTTAAATGTTTTTAGAGACGGTATCTTAGTACTGCAAGAAAGTTATTTGTTTAGAAATCTATGCCTCACTGAACAAAGAGAAGTATAACTTACTACACTTTCTCATCCTTCATCTGGTTGTGGAAAGGTTACAGTAAAGGAGATGAAAACACATTATTTCAATTTACTTTTTTATGAAAGAAACATAACTCCAAATGCATATTGATTTATGCAATGGATTACACAATTTTTCTTAGTGCTATTTCCTTAGATGGGTGGTCAAGGACAAAATTAACACTTTCAAGCTTGAATAATCATTAACATACTTGGAGCTGCTCTGCTGCAAAGGGCAGGATGACAAATTCTCAGTGTTTCTGTAAATTGATTATATCCACACACACTCCCTGCATTGATGAGATGACGTTTTGGCATGAGGTTCATGTTACTGTTTCTTAGCTATTTAGAAAGTATCCTAATGTTCTCACACTGCTGAGAACTTAGTATTCAATTGCACACTCTAGCACTCACACATTATGTATTCTCAGCTGCACATTAATTGTCTGAGAAAAAACAGAGAGAAATAATTACAGCGATTACAATTATAAAAATAACAGCAATAACAACAACTTTCAAAGCCCTGTTCTCCCACTATACCAAGAGCCCTTTCAAACATGGCATTAACCTCACTGGTGTATCACTGGTATCTGGGAAGCGAGGTGAGCTGCAGGGATGAGAAGTCAGCTCTGCTACAGCCTAAATGCAAGAATTCCCCCCTGAAAACCCTTGGTTTGGGGGAGCAGCCTCTGCTTTCTGCTCTCTGCCCCACTGAATCTGAAGTTAAAGCCTAATCTCACAGACACCAGTGGACATCTTTCATTAACACTGTCCAAGAAATTACCATGCAAAGGAACTTTAAAATCCAACTCTCATCCCAGTTTTAACTTTGCAGACATTTCTCCCATGTTGTTCAAATGTCCAAAACACTGTGCAGATGCTAGTGTGGGGAGACTGATGTTTCTGGACTCCTGTACATATTTCTTTTGTACCTTCCTAACTGTATTATCTCCTCCCTGTCACTGGGTACTCCTCCTCACAGCATAGGTGGTGTGAGGAAATCCAGGGACATTTTTGTCTGTCTGCTCAGCCTCTGCACAGGGGCAGGGGGGCACAGGGTCCCCCTGAGCACCACCCATCCAGCAGGCAATGCTGCAAGCTCACTAGGCAGCACTGTGTGAGGGGGAAAACATCCAGTTTAAGCACTCTGGGACAAAACTGAGAATAGCACCTTGTTCTTAACAACGATGAGCCCTGTTCTGCTTATCAGATTTCACGGCGTTACGCAGAAAACAAAGTGTATACGGCTGTCTGCTTCCTAAGGCAGGATCAGTTCCAAAAGGACTTCCTAAATAAAACAGTAAGCTCCTGCACAAACGTTGTACTGTCACCTTTTAGCAGCATACACCAGAGCACAAATGGTAATGGAGCAACAAGTAGATGCAAAGCTAAACCCATATCTCCACCTCTTGATTTTCTGGACTACAGTTATTTTCTTTAAAAGTTAATTCTTTCATCAGAATTTCTGACAGATAGGAAATAATAGTTTTTATTGTTCTGTAATAACTGAAGCAGCTTTCTGATATTTAGAATAACTGGCTATGCTTTATAAATGCTTTTACTTTTTTTCCCTTAGTGACACATTGCTGGGGTCTTTGGTTGTTGTTTTTCAAGTTATTTTCTGAATTCGTTCAAAGTGACATAAAAATAGAGAAGTAATTAAATGCCCTTTCACAAATTACACGCTTTTCAATATATAAAATGTTGATTATTTTCTTCTCAGAGGGAAAACAAGACTTTAACCATTTAGTAACTAGCAAAAGCTCTGATAGGAAACAAGTAATAAGTGCATGTACTAGTGTAAAGAACAGTCTGATTTGAACTGCATATTATTGAGATTAGGACAAATTTCAAGGGACTAACAAAAATACCAACTGCAACAATCAGGACTCCTCATGAACACCTGTTTAGGGAATTAATTTGTTTTAATGGGCTATTACCAAGGCTTCTCTAACAAACTCACTCACTCCCCCAATCAATTCTGGATCAATACAGACACACATGCCTTGTGAAAAGCCTTCTGTTCTTAGGACAGGATTAAAAGATTTGTTAGTTTTACGATAGCTTGCTTAAAAGATGGAAATTAAAAAAAAAAAAAAAAAAAAAAAAAAAAAAAAAAAAAAAAAGAAGAAAAGAGAACATGCACATGTTCCACACAGTTTAGATCTCTTCTGCTTAAAAAAACCCAACATTTGCAAAGGTTTGACAGAAGGGAGGCCACTTTTTATCGATTATCACAGTAATAAGGCTCTAAAAAATCCCAAAACACGTTGCTCAGTCTTTATGAATGATCAATTAAGAGCCTGCTAGAGAGCTGGCTTCCACGGAAATTCACCGTCATTTCTTAGTGAAACTGAGGTGGTAGAAAATAAGGGCATATAAGCTGTTTTTAAAAACAATTCTATATTCCTTCAAACAAGCAAGTTCAAAAACTTTACATAGGGCAGATGTCAGGTGTCTGAGCACTGAAATAACTTAAAGCTCTGATCTGGGTGTACTAAGTATTATTTATAGCCTTTAGCATTATGAAAAATGTATTCCTTCAGTGACTTTGCAACAGCAAGTCTTTATTTTTGCTAAGTTAATCCTGAGATAAACTTTTCCCTTAACCAAAAACAAGACATGGGAGAAGTCTACAAAGACTAGGAATTCATTGATTAAAACCCAACAACAGATAAATAGCCTTAAAAAGCATTTAAAATGTTGCACAACACAAAAACATGCATTATCCACAACTATATTTAGCCTACAATTTGATCATGTTGTTACAGCTTCCAAGAAGGATTTTAAAAATAATTTTTTTTATTATGAAATATTATGCTGTTCAATGTATAAAATCAAGATATTTTTCTGTCAATTATAGAGATTTATTGCATCAAGGGTTAATGAGTATTTTCTGCCTCAAGGAAAATATTTCAGTTTTCCATGTAGTTAATAAAAACAAACACTCTGCTTTTCACTACAGAGATACTTCAAAAGTAGTAAATGGTGTTTTCTTTATCTCTCTAGTTACATCAGATTCATCTGGACTTTGGAAAACTGCATACAGAAAATCTGGTCTGATCAGAAAAGGATATTATTTTGGTATATCATACAGGGGTTTTTTCTTCTTTAATAATGTGATTTTAAAGAAACAGAGAGAATGTATACTTCATTGCGTAAGTTGGGTTACCGAGTTCAAAACAAACAGCACTGAAAACATTTCCAAGTGTTTGTTAGTATTTTGGGCTCTTTTTATATCTCTTTTGCTTACTTGAAATCAAAAGAATAAATTCTAAAAACTGGCAATGATTTAACCCCTAGGGATCGGGCATTTCACTTGTCTCACAAATGTATTGATTAGATCAACCTTTTAGATGCAAAGTCATCTTTCTTGAATTTTCAGTCTTTTTTGCTCTGCATAATCAGAAACTCGTGGTATTCACTTAGAAGACAATAACTCAAACACATTTTCCCATACATATTTACAGTCCTATTTTCAAAATCTTTTTCCTGAGTTGCTGAGCCAACAGAGTTCACATTTACTGAAAACATGGACTTACATAGTTTGTATGTAAACAGAAACATATCTTTAAGATGCAGAATATATAATGATGACATTTCAGGAGAGAAACTTTCTTATCAAGCTCACTGACAAATAGCAAAGGAACTTAATAGTCCAGGAAAGCAGAAAAAAAAAAAAAAATACTTGCAAATGTCTCTTATATATTAAGAAAAAGTGCTTAGAAATCCTCATTGCTCTCCGAAAACCTTACAATCACCTAGCAACCTATGTTACTGCTGCTTTCAATTTTAAACAGGCAGCCTTCACATTCAAAGATGCATCTGAGCCAACTGATGCAACTGTAAGTTTAAAGCAAAACAAAAACAAAAACAGAATTTTTTTTTTTTTTTGTTATAAATAAAATGCCCCTACCTTTCTTCTGAGAGTACGATGGCGACTGCACTTGAGAAAAAGTAGGTTTTTCTTCTGTGAAAAATTCAGGTTGGTTGTACTGATTCAGGGCCATGTCCATGTCAGAGTACTCGCTTTTAAACACGTTTCCAGGGTAACTACAGGTATAAGGCTGATTCACCGCCCAGGCCTGTTCCATATATATGTTGTTACTGTGCAGGACCTGAGCATCACAACTGCTGTAACCCTGATTATCTTCAATATATGTGCAATAATCAGTGGACTGCATGTAGCAATTGCTACCAGCAGCTGGGTGCACTTCATATATTTCTTGCATACAGTAGTTCATTTTGTTAGCCTATCTCAGCTTCTACTTTACGTACACACACACATGCATACACACGCAGGCATGCATACACATGGATCAGGAAAGGAGCAATGAATATACACCAACAAAGTCGACTGCAAAACAGCCCGTTTTACTTCGGAGCAGCACCTGATGTGCTAAAATCCTATTTATATTGGGACGGCTTGTGAACTCCCCTGCCAGTCAAACATATTGGGAAGCAGATTTATGACAGTCAAAGGTCTTAATCTGTGACTGTAAGTTAATTCCAAGGGAAGATGGCAGTCAGGTAGCAATGACCACCAGACAAAGAAGCGACATCCTGACAACCCTCCTGTTCCCCCATTTGTCTGGAATAATCATTTTATAAACCATTTCCAGCCTTTTCCAATATGATTAGAAAACGATTACTAAGGCAAGGACACAGTTATGTCACCGTAGTTGTCAACTTAAGTGTGAAGAATTATAAAGACTGCTTAAGAACTCCCGGAGGGGATACGCTGAAAATCCTAAAATCAATAATCCTGTTTTTCAGCATTAAACCATAGAAAATCCAATAGTGCTGGGCTGATGACCCAAACAGTAGTCTAGTGTTACAAAATTTAGCAACTTAATCTGTCATCAGCTTTATTGATTTTGTTTTACAGAATTACATGCATGAATCTCCCCAGCCTTCCACACATACACAATCCTCCCCACTGCTAATGAATTTACGGGAAAGCGGTTTTTCTAAACTTCAGTGATTTTAAGAAGTAATTTGTATTGAGTTCAACAGGTGGGAAACTTCAAAATAACATAATCAGCAAAGAGAACACTGCTTAAATATTATCAATAAGCTAATTGCTTTGCTATTCTGCTTTGTTATCTTTTCTGTTTCAGTAATGAAGTACTGTTAGAAGAGTTTTTTTCTGATAATAGAGCGAGGAAAGGAAGGAAGGTTTTTTGCTCATTTTGGCTCACTTATGAACTATGAATATGACAATGCCATTACAACAAAAACTGTATGGTATTTTAATTGCTTAATGCATGCCAAACTTCAAGTTGGTTATTACACCTTCTTTAATCAGCCATTTTTTTTAATCTAAAAAATTATTTTATTTTTAACTTACATTAACTGCTATTTGGTTTTTTATGAGGAAAAATGTGGTTTTTTTTTATAGCACAGCTAAGATACAGTAAAACCTGTGAGGTCAGTCATAAACCAGTATCCCTTTCTAATATCTGTTATTATTATTAGAAAGTTTAGTTATTACTGATTTGATAATGAGAGCTTTCTTACTTCATTAGTTTTAAACTACAGGATTGCCAAAATTACTGTGTAACTTGGCCGTTTTTCTTCTAGGATCTTAAGCATACATCTAAAATCTTGATGAATGTACTCTTAAATAGTCTTAAAAAGTTCAGTGCAATAGGTAAGAACTGGGTGTGACATATCCATATTTTTCCCTATCCACTATTGCTAAATATTTCAGACTAATAAAAACAACCAACAGAGAGACATTTTCCTTTCTGACATATAACTGTAACTAACCTATCTAAATAAGCAGCATTTCCAGTTGACGTCTAATTAACTACCAAATCCAGGACAAGTCCTTCCAATGATCAGAGAAGTTAAAATTCATATTGGAGTTTTTCTTCCCTCTCTAACTATAAAAGAAGCATCTTTATCATGCATTTCTTATTAACTTGCTCATAAAATAATAATACATTTGGTAAGTCAAACTGAACTCTATTGAGATCAATGCTACTGAAGTCAATGAAGATGCCTTCAAAATGAAGTTGTTCTCCTCTAATAATTTAAAAAATTTATTTCATGAAGATCACAGTTACTGAAATCCAACAAGTAAAACCCTAATGAACCCTCGTTCATTTACCATTGTCTAACTCAACAAATACCACTAAAAAATACAGTGTGAAAAAAGCACACAATAAAAGTTAATTTTAATTTTAGTTCAGGCCCATCATCTATATTTTACAAACAGTGAATTTGTCTGTGATAAAAAGCATCTCTCATGTAAGATCTAACTCAGCACTGGATATTCAGCACTTCATAAAAAATGCCTTTGTTTCATTCAAGAAATTCTGCAATAGTTGTTTCTTCTGAAACCCCCAAACCATTCCCACTGAGGGGATGAGTTGGTAATGCTGTAGTGTACATAACATATACAGCTTTCTGAGTTTACTTCTCCATGCTCCCAATAAAACATTCCTAAGTACCGTACCTGGGTTGTTCATTTACCACAAAAAGATCCCAGGTACCACCAATAGGAATTTATGTAGAGCTCCCACAGAGGTGAGGCTGTGTTTTACAGGTTAGCAGAGCACAATACCTAGATACTTTTACACCACCCAGAAAAGCTTTGGAGAGCTGGGCTTTAAATTCTTAGTGAAAATTTTTCCTATATGGATTTACTTTGCCAGCAAAGTCAAAATTCCCACAAATCTTTTCTTTTCTGTTTTTTTCCCCTTCTGACTGGATTTAGGCTTGTTACTGAATAACTAAACAGAATTGAAGCCTGGTGTAGACAGAGCTGCTCCAGCCAGTATGGCATCTGAGGAAATGGTATTTCCACATGGCATGGCCTGTGACTTACTTTCTGTTCCAAAATAGATCCCTCAAACATTTATTATTTTCTATTCCTTTATCAATAATGCTCAGAAATGTGTCACATGTACTGTTTTTGTCAAGAGTTCCTCTCACACCACAAAGAAATTAAATTACATGAAACTGTGAAGGATGAGGAAAAAATGAAAAATTACTTTTCCAACAAACAAAAAATAAATTATGAGCACTGTCAGGGAATGTGGGTTTCTTACCTGTGGTATGCTACTATTAAAGAGATTTATAACTCTGCAGATTGTTGTTCCCTTGGAAACAAATCAGTTCAAAGAACACTGCAAAGATTTTAAAAACTGAAATATTCCTAAAATATTTTCATTTTAATCTTTTAGGGTCCAATTCTGTAGGTTTATTTCATGTACATCTTTGAATTAAACTGTCTGATACAAGACAGTCAGACAGTGTCTTTATCAAAAGTCTGAAAGTTGAGTTGAATAATATTAACAGTTTTTCTTCATTTTGTATTCCTATTTGAATATTCGTGTCTTTACATCATGTCATCCTGAACTTTTGTTGCCTCCAGCAATGTATTATCACACTTGGAATTTTATGAATTCACATGTGTCTGATTATGTGAACACATGGAAGTTAATCACCATCAGAATAAACCCTTCAATTCAAGCAAACAGGCCAAGAATAAAACAGAAATTTTGATACTGTAACGGCAGAGGATCCAAAGCTCAAACCTCTCAGTCTAAGGTGTTAGTCCATTGTTCTAAAAAAGGCAGGAATTACTTGTTGAACTTGTGCCTGGAATGCCACCAAGGTTTTTATATACTCACCCTGGTGTAAATCAGAAGTTAAGTCTAACGCAGTCAGTGAGTGACATTAACTGGGTAGGCAGAAATCAGGCTGTGAATACTTGAAAGGGGGAATCTGCAGAAGAAACCGCCTTACACTACACCATTCAGCTATTTTATTAACTCCTGTTCTACAAATTATGACTAAGATTTTTAATTGCAAACAACAAAATACCCCCATTAAGATGCACTTCTCTTGTGACTTGGCTCATTTACAAAACCCACCAAAATGAACCCACAGAAATGTTAAGGAAAGACAAAAATACTGTAGCGTCCCTCTGTACACTACAGCCCAACAACCAACAGCGGTCCCTGACACAGAAAAAAGAAGTACCATGCAGTGCAATTTAATCTGCTGTGGAATATTACCTGCAAGAGTCCTATTCTCCTGACTTTTTCCAAACTGTCCAGCCCTGGTCTAGAGTCCTGGGTATTGCAATGCTGCAGACAAGGCCCCTGCACGCCATTCTAAAAGATTGTGTCAGTACGTGGGAGGTATTGCAGAGCATTCAAATCAGAAATCAGTGAGGGCAGAGTGCCACTTCTGAAGGACCAAAGGGAAGGATCTTATATTGGTTGCTGTTCATATTTCACACATAAAGATGAATAAAAATCCAGTATTTACTTTAAAATTTTGCACATTTAAACATATAGCTGCAAAGATTAAACATACCATTCTGAACTCTTCACAGCTTTGTATGCCTGTATTATCAGTTTTGTAAAATGAATTTTTACACATAACAAAATAACTGTTATATTTCCTATTTATGGATTTTATTGTTGCCTGAATTGTCTCAACCACCTCTGATGGTTTTGGGAAAAAAAAAATTAGATCATGGCTTTTCTGAGCAAACACAAATCAGCACTTTCATAACATGAGCTACATTCCAGACAGATCTTCTCATATCATAAGGAACATATACTGAAAACTGCAACAGCTTTTGAGCATAACTACTAATATGGCTTTTGCAACACCCATAAGTTGTCAAATAAAACTATCTCAGTGCCCACACAATGTATGTATTTGCACCACCTTATTCATTCACTTTATGCACTATGATTGAAGACTCAAAATGGTCCCTCAGAAGTATGACTATGCAAATTTAGAGATTAAACTAAGAAAACCTCAAACATCAGAATCCAAAATAACAAGCATTTACAAGAACAGAAAATTAACTCTTTATGATGTTTATTTTATTTTGAAAACTCTACTTGTCACTAAATCATAAGGTAGGTAGGATTATGGAATTCTAGTGCTGAAAAGTCACAACAGCATTTGACAGTTCCGGGAGTATGTCTCAGTGGAAGATAAGACATAAAAAAAAAATAATAATTTTGTCAATGCTACATTTATAATAGTTGAAGGGAAAAAAGCTAAATCTTTCTGACATAAAATAATTTCCTTCAGTTTGCAACAGATGCAGGTAGATTCAAACTAACTGTGATATAAACTAGACAAAAATCTTACTTAGACAACAGCACACCTCTTTTCTCCATGGTACCAACTTAGTTATTTCTCTAAAACTGTTCCGCTCAAAAAACCTCACTGTACCTCAGTTATGACATGACACTAAATTTATCTGTGACTCATAAAATGC